CTGAACAATTTGTATGCAAATACATGCTTACAAGTTGGCACAAATATCCTTCAGTCATTTCATTTGATCAACACCCAAGTATATAAATAAAGGCAGATATTAAACTTCCAGGGAAGTCCTTTTATCAGTACGACTAATGAATAACCAGCATAGGGAATCTCCTTCCTCATAGATTAACAAGGGAAAGTTTGGGGTTGTTTTGCTTAGGCCTTTTAAGACAGGAGCTTAGTTTCGGTTTTAAAATCGCATTTGTTTTAGAACATAGAATCATTGGGTTAGAAGGGCCCTCTGAGGTCTTCTAGTCCAACCTCTGCTCAAGGCAGGAGTACTTATACCACACCAGTTGAATGGTTGTCCGGACTATTTTTGAAAACCTTCAGTGATAAGAGCACCCACAATTTCCGGGAGACAAGCTAGTGAAGAGAAGGACCAGGGGAGACAAGATAGCAGTCTTCCAATATTTGAGGGGCTGCCACAGAGAGGAGAAAAGGGTCAAGCTATTTTCCAAAGCACCCAAAGGCCAGGCAAGGAATAGTGGATGGAAACTGAACAAAGAGAGATTCAACCTGGAAATAAGGAGAAACTTTCTGACAGGGAGAACAATCAACCAATGGAATAGTTTGCCTTCAGAAGTTGTAGGTGCTCCATCACTGGAGGTTTTTAAGAAGAGACTGGACTGCCATCTGTCAAAAATGGTGTAGGGTCTCCTGCTTGGGCAAGGGGTTGGACTAGATGACCAACAAGGTCCCTTCCAATTCTGTTATTCTGCTATTCTATTATTCATTGATTAAATTGTTCTCACTGTCAGGAATTTTTTTTTTTTCTACTAGATTGGATCTCCCTTTAACAAGCTTCTATCTATTCCTTCTTTTCTTGCCCTCTGGTGCTTTGAAGAGTAAGTTGACACCCCGCCCCCTTTTTTCCCCCCCTCTGTGACAGACCCTCAAGTACTGGAAGACAGTTATCATGTCCCTCTTAATCCTTCTCTTCAATAGACTAGATGTATCTAGCTCCTTCAACTGCTCATCCTATAATTTAGCCTCCAGACCTTTTATCATCTTTGTTTCTCTACTCTGCACTCATATTTGATATAGTGGTGACCAAAACTGGACTCAGTATTCCAAGTGTGGACTCACTAATGTGCAGTATTAAAAAAAAAGTATAAGAGGGCATGATCACTTCTCATCATCTTGATGCTATGGTATCACTCGGTTGATATAAACCAGAATGACTTTGTCTTTTTTGGCAGCTGCAGCACATTGCTGACCAGTACTTATGGGGTAGTCCACTAGGACCCCTTAATCTTTTTCAAAGTTCAGATCAATTCAGATTAACAGAGTTGGAAGGGACCTTCTAGGTCATCTAGTCCAACCCCCTGCCCAAGCGGGAGACTCTACACCATTTCTGACAAATGGCAATCCAATCTCTTCTTAAATGCCTCCAGTGATGAAATTCCCATGATTTCTGAAGGCAAGCTGTTCCATTGGTTGATTGCTCTCACTGTCATTTTCTTTCTTTCTTTCTTTCTTTCTTTCTTTCTTTCTTTCTTTCTTTATTTTTCTTTCTTTCTTTCTTTCTTTTTCTTTCTTTCTTTCTTTATTTCTAGGTTGAATCTCCCCTTGGTCAGTTTCCATCCATTATTCCTTGTCTGGCAGATGACTTGACACAATTCCCCAGATCGCAACTGGGAGTTCTCCAAATCTTATTTCCAACCCATTTTGAGAGCAGAGATGGAAGCCTTATCAAGTTAACTCATCTCAGTAGAAAACCAGTAATGAGGGATGGTGTATATTGCAATCAATTATCCCAATATCTAAAGGGCTATCACAAAGAAGAGGGGTGTTGGGTATATGAATACTCCAACTGGTTTGGGTTGAATAAATATGTAAACCTAGGATTAAGTGTTTTGTAGCTTTAAGCACAAGAAACTGCAATGTCATTGTGGGTGCGGTTGCAGGCAGCAATATAGGTAGGAGGGGAAACGTAATAGACCCCGGCTTCTGGATGCACCTGGTTACTGTTCCTGGTCTGCTGCCTGCTGTGCTGGAACGTCTATCTGCTTGCTTTTGGAGGCTACTGTGCCAGATACCATTTCACCTGAACACAAGGACTGTTTGCTTGGTGAGCTGTGGATTCAGCGTTGTCTTTGAGAGAAAGGTATCGGGAAGAGAAGATTTACAAGCAGATAAGGACATTGTATTTACTGTTAATGGACTTGATAACTGGATGGATATACTGGATAATGTCATATGGACTGAATGACTATTCTTAATCTCTGTGTGAATTAAATATCTATTTAAAAACCACAAACAGTGTTTTTGTCTCAAGTGTGTGTATACTCTTGGGCCCAGCCTCTCTCTCTCATTTGGCTGCCTGGTTTTGACTGCTGTTGTGCACTCTGCTCGGGGGTTTATCCCCAAACACTAACAAGGGGGTCAAGCTATTCTCCAAAGCACCCGAAGGCAGGAAAAGAAGCAACGGATGGACACGAATGGATGGACACTAATCAAGGAGACAAGCAACCTAGAACCAAGGAGAAATTTCCTTACAGGGAGAACAATTAACCAGTTAACCTTTCCTCCAGATGTTGTGAATGACCCAACACTGGAAGCTTTTAAGAAGAGATTGGACAAGCATTTGCGTGAAATGGTCTAGGATTTCCTGCATGACCAGGAGTCAGACTAGAAGACGTTCAGGATCTCTTCCAATTGTGTTATTCTGTTATCTTTTGAAAACCATATGCTGCTCACCTTTATTTTAAATGCTCCATTTTTTCCCCATGGACATTGTACAATAAAATCTGGTGGCATCATGGATGCATTTTCCTTAAATGACACACTAAAACGTCTTTCAAATTTGGCTATTTTTGACGCGAGGTTATCATGGAGGAAATAGTCAAACAAAGACTAGACCCTTTGTTGGAATTACTTTGTCCTGCTCAGAGTTGAAAAGAAAACACCTCCTATACCAGAGTATTTATATTTTTAAATAAATATTTCAAAAATCTTTATTTTATATTTAGTAGCCCTGTTCACCTGACATGCTGAGTTAAGTAATGGGCATTGCACAATTTTTAAAACTCAGAGGATGGATCTAAGCTTCAGACAGCAAAATGGGTGGCATGTAAATTTAAGAAATAAAGAAAAAATAAATCTAGGATGTCAGTGAGTTATTTTACAGATATTCCTCAACATACAAACACAATTGAGTCTAAGATTTCTGCTGTTAAGCGAGACAGATGATAAGTGAATTGTTGTCCAATTTCTCTGCCTTTCTTGCCACTGTTAAGTGAATCGTTGCATTTGTTAAGTTGGTAACATGATTGTTAAGTGAATCTGGCATCCTTATGGACTTTGCTTGTCAGAAGGGGACAAAAGAGGATCCTGGGAAACTGCAACTGTCATAAATCAGGATGGAGCGATGAGTGCAAAGATCATACCAAATACAGTAGAACCTCTAGTCACAAATGCTTCTGCATGATGAAATCGGGTTCTTACCAAAATATTCACAATTTTTAACCCCTGCAGCCGATTTCCCCTTCCACGCCAGTGGTGGGATTCAAATTTTTTTACTACTGGTACTGTGGGCGTGGCTTGGTGGGCGTGGTGTGGTGTGGTGTGGCTTGGTGGGCGTGGCAGGGAAGGATACTGCAAAACCCCCATTCCCTCCCCACCCCACTAACCTGCTTTCCAGCTCCATTCTCCTGGGCAGGGCAACCAAAGAAAACCAAGCCGATCAGCTGGGACTCAATTTTGCAACATTCAGCAAAAGATTGGATGAAATGCACAAATGTTACAAGCTACTTGATAGTACAGGTAGTCCTCAACTTACAACTTACAATCATTCGCTTAGTGACCGTTCGAAGTTGCAGTAGCATGGGGGGGGAAGTGTTTTATGACTGTTTTTCACACTTAATGACTGCTGTAGCATCCCTGTGGTCACGTAATCAAAATTCAGATGTGTGACAACTGGTTCATATTTATGACAATTTCAGTATCCCCTTTTGCAACCTTCTGACAAGCAAAGTCAAGAGGGAAGCTAGATTCATTTAACAAGCCTGCTACTAGCATAACAAGTGCAGTGACTCACTTAACAACGGTGACAAGAAAGGTCTAAAATGAAGGCAAAACCTTCTGAAAAATGGAGGCAAAACTTGCTTAGCCTCAGACACTTCGGTCTCAATTGTGGTCCCAAGTGGAGGACTACCTGTAGGAGACACCCTCATTTGGAGAAGCAGTGGTGTCAAAACCCAAGTTGCATCCTGGGTTGTTCATCCTGCATTGAATCTTATCATATAGGGGTTGGGCTAGATTAACTCTGGGGTACCCCTCAAATCTGAAATGGACTCTTCTACAATGTAGAATGTACAATGTAGTTGCCAGACACCTTAAGTTTCACTTGAATGCTCTTACACTGAGGGATAGTTCCTCTGAAATGCATTATTTTAATAGCCATGGAGTTATTAGGCTTCGGGCTATAATCTGATTGTAAATTTCCACTTGGAGCTTTGATGGTAATATGCAATGAAGGAATTGCCTTCCAGTCGGTAGGGATAGACTTTGGCAGTTCTCTGAATTCTGCAGGAACTGAACCACATTTAATTTTGTTGGAAATAAAAGGAGGAGAATGCTTATTTATTTGTATCCCGCCTTTATTATTTTCACAAATAAAATGACAAAACATATCCAACATACCTTCCTCCTCCTATTTTCCCCAAAACAAGAACATTGTGAGGTGGGTTGGGTGTGAGAGAATGACCCAAAGTCACTCAGCTAGCTTTGGTGCCTAAGGACGGGACTAGAACTCACAGTCTCCTGGTGATTGCCCAAAGTCACTCAGCTGGCTTTCATACCTAAGGGTGGAACTAGAACTCACAGTCTCCAGATGATAGACCCAAAGTCATTCAGTTGGTTTTCATGCCTCAGGATAGAACTAGAACTCACAGTCTCCTGGTGATTGCCTAGTTACTCTGCTGGCTTTCATACCTAAGGGTGGGACTAGAACTCACAGTCTCCTGGTAATAGACCCAAAGTTACTCAGCTGGCTTTCATGCCTAAGAGTGGGACTACAACTCATAGTCTTCTGATGATTGCCCAAAGTCACTCAGCTGGCTTTCATACCTAAGGCTGGAACTAGAACTCCCAGTCTCCTGGTGATAGATCCCAAATCACTTAGCTGGCTTGCATGCCTAAGGGTGGAACTAGAACTCACAGTCTCCTGGTAATAGACCCAAAATCACTTAGCTAGCTTTCATGCCTAAGGGTGGAACTAGAACTCACAGTCTCCTGGTCATTGGGCCAAAGTCACTCAGCTGGCTTTCATGCCTAAAGCCAGATTATAACACACAAAACTCCTGGTTTCTAGCCTGTTTTTTTTAAGCCATGCGGATGAACTGACAGAGATGCTGGAAGGAAGTTTTAAAAAGCGCAGTGTTTATCCAGATTATAGGTAAGCAATCATGGTCCACAAATGGAGAATCACAAACGAGCCTCCCCCCTCCATAGTTTCCTATGGGGCTATCCTGTGTAATTGCATTGTCTATAATAAAAAACTATGTCTACTCAGCTTCAAACGTGCAAGATTTCTAGTGTTTTCTAATGCCTGAAATTAAAACCTGGTTCACACATGCTGCTCAATTTAGCTGTCATTTATGGGAACAACCATGGCTGACAGGTAACATACTAAGCTAAAATAAATCAGTGAGCTTTATAGACCAAACTGGATTTACACAGGACACTCAGTTGCAAACAAGCTTTCAGTTAGCCCAGATATATAAACTGGATTAACATTAACTAGTTCTTTGAAAATTGTAGTTAGAAAAGTAGACAACTGAATACTGGTAAATCCTTGATTTTATATCACAACTAGCTCGATACCTGTGCTTCACTACAAAACTATGTGGTCCGGCTTAGCTCTTGGGGAGTAAAATAAGGGAGGGAGAAATTCTGCCTCTACCCACCAGCATCCATTGGTATTCATCTGGCTAGTGTCCTGTCAGTGCGTGAGAGAGTTGAGGGCTGTTTGGAAACTGAAAGAGTATTTTCTACATGAGCAAGGAGACAGCAAGGAGCCTGGGCATGGCTTAGCTCAACTGTTCTGTACTAAAGCTGCTTGGTGCTCTGAAACTAAAACTGAAACTCCTGCCTTCTGTTTGTGTATTGCATTTGGAACATATTATCTTTCAGATGGGGAGGGGGAGTAGAACTCCTTAGCATCAGAGCAAGTTAATAATACTATAGGAAATATTAATGCTCTTATGGTCATTTTGAGAAATCCTTTCTTAGTGAGCACCTAGAAGCCAAGAGGAACATACGTGCCAAATTTCAAGTTTGTAGGCTTGATGATTCTGGAGATTTTGTGATGACGTGTGAGTGAGATTTTGCTTTTATATACATTTACATTTACATTTACATTTACATTTACATATACATACATATAT